TGAAATAAATTAATTGAAATGCTGTTGAAACAATCATGGATTTGTCCTATTAGCAAGTCAGCGGAACCCTGTTGACCCCCAACTTTTTGCATCTTTCCTTATTCTCATTGTGGTAATGTACACCAACTTTTGAGAAATCTTTCCTTCCAAACACACACACACACACACACACACACACACACCCCAAGAGAGGTGTATTTATAGCTAAGCAAAGAGGTGTTGAAAGGGGAGTTTTTCTTGTGGCCTGGAGGAGCCTCAAAGGGGGGGAGATGGAGAACTGAGTGCACGTTGGTGGGTATTAATAGCATCTCTGTTCACCATGACTCCAGTATGTAATCACAGCCACTTAGTGTCCCCAAAAAATTGTGTTACTCTGTCTCCTTGCTTTTTGTTTCTAAGTACCAGTGTTGACAGCCTGGTGAATCTTAGTATTGAGGACCTGGTTATTACCATGAAATGACTAAACTTTACATCACAATATTAACACATTTAGTTTTGTCTTCCTGGTGTCCATCATTTATTTTAAGGTGGTGCTGTCATTGCCATGACGTGTGATGAACTTTCATACCACACTGCAGCTTCACACCTTTAAACCTGCGATCTGTTTTGACCTTCTGCTTTTCCTGTCACTGTATTTCTGTTTCAGCAGTTACAGTGTCCTTCCCAGTGGTTCTCCAACATGACGGCTTACAGCAAATGATATTTCATCTGCTACTAGAAGGAGACTATACTAATGCCAAGCTTAAAAATAACTTCCGTATGGAAATAAGTTATATTTTAAAGGAGTTGGCTGCTGCTCATATCATGAGTTGGTACTGATCAGTACTACACAGAAATACGAACAACATGTGAATCTCAAGTGGCCACAGTGATTTTAGTATGTGAAACAGAATTCCCTTGCCTGACCTTGATGAGCTGATCAGTGTTATCTCATGAACACTGAGATAAAGATAGGCTGCCCCCTAAGAAAACCATTAGCCAGCTTATCTTCTTTCTGTTCTTCCTCTGTCCCTGTAAATTTCTTCTCTTATTCTTTCTCCTTGCTTCCCCGAGTCCTCTATTCAGGAAAAACTTCCTGCTGCATAGCATAGGAGAGGTTGACTGTGAGGACAATAATGTCCAATGGTTTTCTTTCAACATACAAATGTATCTGCCAAAGCACAATCAACACTCACAACAGAAGAAACAGCTCAAAGACAGAATTTGTGGAATAAGGGGACTATTTGTCTCATTCTGCATTTCATTTGTTTCCAGCAGTGAACTGACAGGACAAATAGGTCTATGGTTGTAAGGTTGCACTTGGCTCAGTGGTGGAAATGTCAACATGCTAGCATGCTCACAGTGACAGTGCTAACATGCTAATGTTTAGTAGGTATAATTTATTTTAGCTGTTTTGCACTTATAGTTTACATTGATTTATTTCTATTAAAGTACAGTTGAGAATAAAGCAAATGCATGTCAGTAAATGTGCAGGTATCTGGTCATAAATGAAATTAATTGTTTACTTGATGATGTTCCTATAGGGAAAGTCAGGTATCATACAAGTTACTACAGTCCATCCTGAAGTGAATAGGAATTTCGGTATTAAATTTACTGATGATTAATCCTATAACTTTACTTTTTTTTTACATTTTACTCATGGTGTTCCTAGAGGCACAGTCAGGGGATCACCACCTTCATAGGATTCCTGAGACCAATGCCATCCAACTCTAAAGCCATGCCACTACTCTGGCTAAACAGCTCTTACCTTCCCCACAGACTATTGCTCTCCCTAGTTATCCACTCGCTCACAGTTTCATTTACAAGCTTATCCACATTCACTCTGCATCATAGGTTCTGTGATGTTCTCCTTCGATATAAGGCACATTTTTAACTCTATTGTCCACACACACAGTAATCACTTAAGGTTTAGGATTTAAAAATGTATAAAAGACTAAAGCAGCCTATACAAAATATAGGCAAAGATAAAAATAAAAAAAATCAACTTACATATTACATACAATGAGCACATGCACCCCCAATTCAAACATATAGAAACCTAAAAACACATTTCACTGAGTTATGGTTTAACCACATTTTTGTGCAGTTTTAAGATTACTGGCATTTTGTCTCAGTCATTGTCAGATAGATTGACACAAACAATGAACTCGTGGATGCTCTGTTGTGCTTTCACCCTCTGCAGCCCTTTGACCTTACTGACCTTAGAGAGAGGCAGGACCAGGAAGGCTCCTCCTCCACTGGATTCAACAATGACCGCCAGGAACTTTGGGTTGACAGCACAGAAGGAGCTGTCCCACGTCACCTTGGAGACACGAATGTCATCATAACACTGGTCAGCCTTGACCGTCTGACCAAAGACGTGGCGAAATTTACTCTGCCGCACGATGCTGCGACTCATGGCTGAGACAAGTAGGAGAAGGTAGGAGGATGGAAAGATGGGAGAGGGTGAACAGAGAGGGACAAGCAGGAGGGAGACGAGGGTGGGGTGAAGAAAGGGATAAAAATGTCAGAAGAGGCTTAGAAAGAAAAAATGGGATGAGAGGTTGGAAAAAGTGAGTGTGAACAGGCAAAGAAAAAACTTTCATTATTAATGTTCACTAAAACCTTCAGCATCCTAATTCGATAAAACTAAATGTGAATCATTTTTTTGAAAATGGTGCCGACTTGGAACAAGAGAGGGTTTGATAAGACCTCACCTCTACAAGGAAGAAGGCATTTCAGATATATACAGTAGATATATATGTTTTTGTAAAACAGATGTGGTCGTGATAGTGGGTCACCTTTTTTAACTAGTTTGAAGGACTGACATTATTACTTACATTAATCTAATCCATCACTCATTGGGCCATTTTTCTGCAGAACAAATACTTTTGATACTTTAACTACAATACTTTTGTAGTATTACTAAGTAAGATTTTGAATGCAAGACTTTTATGGCCTATAAATAACCTTCTGAACAATGAACTCAGTAATGTGTTTTTAGGCTGCTTGCTGACAGACAGCTTGCTCTCCCAGGCACCAGGTCAGGGGGACTGTAATCCTCCAAATCATGGGAGCTATTCTATAACAGAGCCTGCCATCAGTGCTGATATTAATAGTTGATTGTCCCACCAAACACTAAGCCAAGCATCAAAGGCAAACACTAAGATACAAGCGGCAGGAGAGACTGATACAGTGCTAAGGTAGCAATACACAGCACAGCAGTTAGATTCAGTTACACCCATTTGACACAATCCCTATGAGACTGCAGGGTTTTTAGGCATCTAACATACACTACCAGACTAGACTGGCTTACATAAGGTCAAAATTAAAAACCCAGATCTAAAAGTGGGATGGCATCAGTCCCTGCAGACATATGATAAATCCTCATTAACTCAGACCCCACAACTCTTAAAATAAAACCCATAAAAGGGCACCACCTGAGACCAGGGCCCACCTTGTTTTCTGTGGAAATTTGTCATCTTATTAGGGCTGTAATAATCCTACTTTAAGTGATAATATCTGAATTTCATGCCAGAATATGTTACATCTTTACCCAAAGTGAACATGAAGCTGCTGCCGTGTGCTATGGCCTCTAGGCCTCTGGTTTGAATGAAATTCCTTGGTCTACTTTCCAGAGAGGGCTTAAAACGGAAAAATCTAAAAGTAAAGATTTTCTTTTATAGTTTTAAATCTGTCACAATCTTAAAAAAAACTTCCAGTTTCTCAGATTTATTTTTATATTATTTACAGAAAACATCAGATTTCCCACCAAATGAGGTCAGGACAGATTAACTAATTTAACAAGCCTGAAACTTATATCTGTTGGGAAACAGGCTACGCGAGAAAGTGAATTAAATTCCACGTGGAAAACCACCGACATGCTCCTTTAATTCTACCAACGTCCTCTATCGCGTATGGCACAGCAAAGGGGAGTGGAGACAGTGAATGACACCGCCACTTTCCTAATATAGACATGACAAACTGCTCTGTCCCAACCGGGCCAGCCGCTCCCCCACCGCCTACCTGGTCCTAAATAGTCCCAGAAAGAAGCCAACGCAGGCAGCGGCACTTTATCGTTCATGAAAGGACCGTAAATTTAAATGGCCACTGCGCAAAAGCCTATATAATCAGACATGGGCGCAGGACGCGTGATTAAGGGAGGGGACAGGATCAGCAACGTACAAAGTGCTCCTCAAAGTAGCCCACGGGTGCCACGCACGACTCCAAGTCTTCTCCGATCACAGGGGGAAACTGCACAATCACAGTGTTTAGTGTCTGTTCTTTTAAGGGTTTCCAAAGGTGGGACGCTCTCACTCCTCTCCAGCAGTGCAGTAGAGAAGCTGACGCACCTCTCACTCCACTGCAGCACTGATACCGACACATATATTAGGAAAGACAGTCCACCAGACAGCTCACCTCAGGTTTTGGGGAGACCCCTCTTCCCTGGACAACTCTCACGGGTTCTCTTGTACAACCAACTCCTGCTTCTGCCGATGTTTTTGAATGATATTTCCTGCGATCTGGTTCCCCGGAGAAGGTGCGGACTTGCTGAGGAGACGCACTGGACAACTGCGTGACGCTCCACGTTTGGGAAAGAGAGAGGGGAGAGTATCGGGGAAGAGCAGGGAGAGGGCAGGGTGTGGGTGGGTGCCATCTATTTTGGAACAGGCGCTGTCAGTACAGGGAAACGTGACGCGCGGCTGTACAGGGGGGATCAGTGTCACTACTGGCCGACTCGGATAGAAGAACTCTCTCTTTAACAAGTAAACAAATACACACACACACACACAGGTGACCTGAGTTTCAATGCTGCCTTCAAGCGCTCCTGGTCGACAGCAAAGTGTCCTCATACGCAAAATGTGATGGAAACAAAAATGTGCACGAGGCTGTTTTAGTGAAATCTCGATTTATACGATAGATTTTACCACACACACACACACACTTCAAACGCAATAGCAGTGTAATGCTGCCAGTTATTGTTTCAGCTGTTCTGAGTGACCGTTTTTTTATTGGGAGCCAAATTTTGTCAGTGTTCTATTACAAGAGTCGATCCCAAGTTGTGTTTTGTTTGCATTGTGAAAAGTGAAATAAAGGTAAATAATTCTGATGTTGCAGCCCGTGCACAATGACTCTTGGCTATATTGTACCTGGACAGCTTGAGGGTAGGTTGAGCCAGGCTCCAGCTATGTTCCCTACAGGTAACTGAAAGTCTGAATTAAATGTAGTTGCTGCTTGTGACTTACTGGTTTCACTGTTGACCTGAGGAGTGAAACTTGCTGATGGAACACACGCAGTTCCACTGTATCCAAACAGCAAATATAACACTGTGCAACAGCTTCAGTCAGTGTTTACTGTTAATTAGCTTTGTCAACTGTGAGTGAAGTATTGCACCTTACACACAGGTATTGTATTCATAGAAAGTCAAATGTTTTATAAAGGCTGAGCTGCACAGGCAGTGTGCGCATGGAAAGAAACATTTTCTCCTCTTATTGTGTGCATTAGCCCAGCTTCTCACATGACAAATGACTGTACACAAACTTTCATTCCTATTTTTTTGTATTTTTAATTCTTTTGTACGTGTTGGATCCTAACCATTTACCAACAGACTTCACCTCCATGACTTTTAAAAATCTCCCTATTGTTGGCGTGACCAAGAAAGTAAACAAAAAAAACCTCACAAAATGAAAAACCACAACGGTGTTCAGTGCTATATTGTCATAACCTTAGATTATTATACACAGACTGACAGCAAAACAATCATTTGCATTGTTTAATGGTCACAGTTTAAGCACATGATATAAAAGAATATTTACACTGACATTTTACAATAAAAGAACAAAATAAAAATCAGTTTGACACATATGCCCAACAGCTACTACCTAATCATGCTCACCGAGTGCAGCAACCACACACGCAAAAAACATTTAAAACTAAAAAGGGAGTAAAGTGCACGTAGACCTCCCTGTACAGACATTTCTGATAGACTGCAGAGAAGCTTCAATTGCTAGTCACAGGCACACTCCTGAAGTACAAAAGAGACAATGATCACTTTATATTAAAAAAAAAAATGCACACACCCACACGATAAAGTTGTGCTACACAGTTGTACTCACACAAACCAGATATAAAAGTGTGTAGATCCTAAAACAGCAAGACTCACAACACAGACCTTTACAACCCAAAGAGAGCACAGCAGGAAACTCAGATATACACTCAGCCTTGGATCCCCTAACTGACCCGTTCTCCTACACATATGAAAACATCTCATCTGAGTGGCATCAGAACTGCAAGAGGACATGAGACACGTTTACTTCAGCTTATCAAGTAGTGAAGTTGAAATTGTTTGACTGAGATGGACATTCTAGGAAACCAGAGCCTGATGTTTGTGCATGTCAAATTTGGTTGAAATGAGGTATTGTGTAGTTATAAAACAAAACCAGCACATCCTTTGTTTCAATAAACCACTGTACAACTATGCAACCATTCTGAGTTGGAGTTCCCATCCCCAGCTCCAGATACATCTTTCACTGGGCCTAAAACACTAATCTGTTGCAACTGTGATTCGACCTGAGCTTGTGTGTGTTTAGATGAGCTGCTGATAGTACAGCCCATGGAATCATTTAGATTTTTCAGTACAAAAGTATTTCTGCCACATGAATTCAAGTTTATCTTTATATGATCATTTCAAACCAAATCTGCAGGTCAGACAGTACCAGAAGAACACCTGTTGGGTACAACTTGTACCCAACACAGCTAGCAAATCATGGTAAAGACATGAAAGCATGAGAAGAGGGAAAACACAGGCTACATTCCACCCAACATCAGGTTGGACTACTGAATCAACCAAGAAATATCAGGTTCATTATGAAGAAACCAGCAGTGACGTAAAGAGTGAGTATGTCCAGGCTTAGGCATATAAACATTTGTTTTAGGACTGGACGATTGTTTCTGGAAGGAAAAAAAAACATTTCACATGAGTTTCTTCCAATTTGACTGCTTAAATTTCAAACACCTGGAACCTTCACAGCCTTGTCACTGTTCTTGCACCAAGACAAGCATTTCATGTCACAGATTTCACAGAGGCTCTTGGTGGATCTGCAGGGGAGAAATGAGAATCTACTATATATCCTTTAAGGCAAGAGGCATTGGTTTGTTTTGCTGAATAAATCCACTTAATTTACATTTCTTACAGGTGCACATTATCCTTTTCTTTCTCACACACACACACAGTGAGGGTTACATGGTGTGGTAAAGTGTACCAACAGTTCTTTTCTTAAGTCGCCTCAGGGGGTGAGTCCTTCCATATTGCTGCCTTGCTGTCGTAAGTGTCAGCCCAAGCCAGTGCAAAGAATCCGGGCCAGAGTGTTTTCCTCTCTGTGGACACTGATTTGATGGTGGCGGGACTCCTGATGAGGTTTCTCCAGCTACAAAGAGCCTCTCAGCACCAATCCCGAGGACATCTGGCTGCTGGCCGGCTGAGGAAGCAGAACCGTGAACCCGCTGCTTCTTGGACTCGTCACCGATTGCATGGAGTGGAGGGTGTGCTAAGAGTGGAGCTACAAAGGAGCAGCTACTCTCCCACTCACTCAGGTCATTGGCAAGCAGCTCCAGACAGCCCAGTTTGGCCAGAGAGGCCGATCGCTTCAGTAGGGACGGAGGGGTCAGCCCTGCCTGGCGAATCCTAGCTTCCACCTCTCTAACCCTCTTCTGGATGCTGCTGCCTCGCTTTTGAGGGGGTCCATCACTGAGACCAAAAACCTGGTCCACACATCTGGTCTTGCCTGTGCCGCCCACACTCACCTGCTGTAGGAAGGCACCCAGCTCGCACAAAGTCTCCCACATCTCCCTCATGATAATGTCACTGTGGGGTCTCTCTGTGGAGCAGTCCCAGTCTGTGCCGGACTCAAGCTCTGTCACGCCCTCCAGACACAGGAAGTTCACAGAGGCAAAGGGAGAATGGCCAGAGCAGTGGAAAGAAGAGGTAGAGAGCAGACTCGTATCAGCAGGCTGGGGTTTGTGTCCTTTTGTGCTTCCGTCACCATTTCCTAGTGCCCCCATGTCAATTACATCGCCACTCTCCCTTTTAACTGGCCCAGTCTTCACATCAGCATTCCCCTGCTCCTCCTGCACAGTGCCAGCTACTGACACCTGTGAGCAAACTGATGCATCCTGGGTATTAGACACTGTGACAGAGTGGACGCAGGTTGAACGCCGCTGAGAGTAGGAGGTGCTACCAGAGAGGGATGGGGGAGATGAGGAAGGTGATGGAACCTCATGTTCCTGTTTCATTCTCTGCTCCAGCTGTTGTGTGACACGCCGCACTGACCCCCTCGTCCAATCGCTGTGAAGATGAGCAGAAGCCATCTCCTCCTCTTCTTTGTTTTTCACTTCCTCTTTTACATTCTCAGGTTCCTTCTGTGATACAACATTTTTGTCCCCCGATTCCTGCCTCAACTTCCTCACTTCCTGGTCCTGGAAGCCCTGAGTCTCTGGGTGGCTAAGAAGGCCAAGAGGTGAAGTCTCCATGTGCACTGCAGGCTTCAGTCCTGTGACCTGCACAGGGACAGGCATTTTCTACAAAGAGAGACAACATAAAAGATGTCAGTTTAAACAAATAAAACATTAGCCCATAGTGTTGAAGACACTGAAGAAAAACTGATTGCAGGGTGCATTCTAGCTTCAAACCACCAGATGGTGCTCTTGAACTCAAGAACCCAAAAGCTAAACTACTGGCACAAATTAATAATTTGAGACCATATTAAACTGCTGTGGTTTCAATAAACCTCAAATTTCTACCTGGGAATGTGACACTTACACATTCCAAAAACATCCAGAGGGTTATCTCCATAAAAACTCAGACCATCATCAGAACAAGATAAGAGCTCAGGGGATGCTCTGAAAAAGTCTGACTCGAAACTTAGCTGATCATTTCAGGGGTTGCTGTGGAAATACTGTTGTAAAGCTGTGTTAGAAGCAGAGGCCTTACCTTTTTCTCCTCCTCCTCCTCCTTCCCCTCACTAGTGGAGACCTCCTGAAACAGTGGTTGCTGTTCCCTGGGACAACTCTTCAGCTGGGGCGACGGCAGCACTGCAGCACAGTGAGCTTTGCCATCTTGACTCATCTCCTTGAACTTTTCCCTGGCACTGAAAAAGTTAATGTGATCTGCACTGTGACCAAACAGCACCTCACTGTTTTGTGGCATGGCACCGGGATAGCAGATAAAATCACTAGCGGAGAGAGGACGGGCTGCTAAGCTTTCCAAAGATGAGTCACAATCTGGCTTTCTGACAGGCACTGGTGCAGACAGACACTGGAATTCAGCCTGTTGTGTGATTGGTGTTTGTGTTGTTGTGGGCTCAGACACGGACACCAACATCGGTTTAATTGCAGGCAGAGAGCAGGATGACACCTGTGGTTTGATAACCTCATCTGTGCAAGATGGAGTTGGGGATGGAGCAGGGGAAAGGGGGAGATGGTGAAGGGAGGGAGGCAGGTGAGGCTGGTCTACCAAAACACTATGTGCAACATTCACAGTGTCTGTCTTTTGAGGCTCAGGCACCACAGTGGCAGCCCTTGGCTGTGAGAGAAGAGGTGATGAGGGCTGCTCCTCAGAGTCACATATTCCATTGGAATGAGGAGGAGATAACGGACACAAACAGGCAGCTTTAGATTCAAGGCCAGGGGGATCCAAGCGGCTGCTCTGGGCTACAGCAGAATGAGAAGGAGCCTCCAGATTCTGAGTATCAGCATCATCTGATAGAGCTGCCACCCTCTGAAATGATGAAGAGCTGAGCTGACTAGACTGGATGTAAGTGTCAGGTTGGCTCTTGGAGTATCCTGCTTTGCCAGCACTGCCCCCAGTGGCCAAAGATTCCAGCAGTTCTTTCACAGAGGGACCCAGCGTGCCGCTACCCTGGCTGTGGGGGTCAGAGTGACCCAGGCTGTGAGGCTGCGCGTGAGATTTAGACAGCGGCTCGTGGTGCTCGGACAGGTCGCTGTCAGAGTGAGAGCGCCACAGTTTGTTGTGCCTTTGCCTGCTGCAGGAGACGGGAGCAAATGGGTGGGAATAAACAAAAAAACAATTTTATCATCTTTCCATGTCACTCTGATCCTATTCATGCAAACATATATACATGCATGCTTTTAACGTGGTTTTATAGGTTACTGTGCTAAATGTGCTGCATTTCCTATCAGCATCATATTGACAAAGCAGTTTAAAGTAGCTTTAGCTGTGTGTGCCTGTTTCCGTTTTATGCAAATGGTCGGTTTTATTTAATGAGACTCAGCAATCACACAATGTTGACATGATGCTACACACAGAAATCCATATGAAACATGCTTGTGTGTGTTAAAGTGGGTACCTGGCCAGCAGTATTCCCTGATACTCTTCCAGCTGTCTCATAAAAGAAGGGTTAGGTTTGGTCACAGTGCGACGCTCCTTGACATAATCAAAGGCTTTTCTCAAATCCCAGCCATACTCCTTCATGGCGTACGCGATCACTGTGGCTGCGGAGCGACTTATACCCATTTTACAGTGCACGAGACACTTGGACCCAGCTTTCCTGAAGTAGATATGAAGAAATCAAGCATACACATCAGTCCATCTTCTTCAACTGTTCAGTAAAGCAGGTTATTATATTATGAAGATTAAGTTTTCAAAAGGACCAAACTCCTAAAAACAACAACTGATGAGAAACAGAGAAAAGGCTAAAAGGAGGACAGAATGCTTTAATGAGCAGATCAGAAAATACAAGGCCATGCAGTTGTCTGAAACTCACTTGGCTCTAGATATAAACTTGTAGGTGTCATTCCAGTAGGCAAGCAGGTCAGTGGCCTCCTCATCGTAAACACGGATGTTGTGGTACTCAAACACACCAGGGAAGAAGTTATCAATCTCCCTGGTTACATTCAGGATGTACTGAACCCTGAGTGACAAGGAGACATGAATGAGGAAAGATGCAAGATGCCTGGATATGCAGTTAAACTGAGCCTGTTTGGATGACAGATTTAAAAGGAATATTTTAATACACATTTGATTTCCTTCTAACCAAAATTATTGTTAGTGTTTTGTTTTTATTGGCTTCAACAGAGCCTGAACTTTGTAGGGGGGTGTGTGTTGCTTTTATCCCGCTCCTCACCCGCTCTTCTGCAACTCTTCCAGATTGGATGCATTCCACTCAGATCCCTGTAGGAAACAAAAGCAAACCTCAGACTTGTTCGGAGCCTTCCACTGAGCTTTACATAATGCTTAAATCCTGAGCCTGTACCTTTTAAGTACTTTAAAATTGGGAGGAATTACACAGGACTTTCTTGTATATTACCCAGTTCCCCAGAGATGGAGTCTGATGCACGACTAGTGTTCATGCATTTTATTTATTCAAGTGATTCATGTCAAAAGAGAGACTTTTTATTATGAAGTGTTCTTAATAATTAATTTGTGATCTAGTTGTTCTTCATCCTGTGGATTTCAGTGTAATGAAACAAAATCTGGCGACAAATGCAGTAGTGGTACTTCAGAGGTGTTCTCAGTCAACCTACCAAGAAGACGTGATCAAAGATCTCAGTGGGACTGTCCATCTGGCCCAGAATGATAATCATCTCGTTGTCTATGAACTCCTTGAACTCTCGCAGGTTGCACGTCATGTGCATTTCTAGCTCTGTTCGGATCTAAACAACACATCCAGCCAGCGAACACAAAGATGCCCGGATGTTTATAAATTATATTAATCTGTATGGGGCATTTTCAAATCCAGCATCTGAAGCACTGACTCACCTCTTTGCAGGTGACATTCTCAAGGTCTTTCTGCATCATGATCTCCCTCAGGCTAGTTTTGATCTGACGCTCTGTCAGTTCTCTTTCTGTAGGGCTGCAGAAAGACACTATGTGAGGAAAGTGCAAATTCACAAGGTGTTAATGCAAACATTACAGCCTGCCATATGGAGGAGGCTTATGACCAAACAGCTTTATTACACTCAAATAAGGTATAAAGGAGACAAAGATAATAAAAAGTAATAAACACTCCATATGTTCTGGATCTTACACATCAGAAAAGAGGACAGGTGAGTCAGCACGGTGTGACTGCACATCCTGCATGACGTTCCACTCATTGATGCGTGCCTGGTCGGAGGAGACCCTGCTCTGATAGTAGCTGACCCAGGTGAGGAACAAGCTGCCTGGGAAATAGTTGTGACAACGAGCCACTTCGCATGCTTTATGAAGTGACTGGAGAGCTGACCTGTCAGAGTGAGAGAGTGAGACAGGATACAAAGGGTTGAGGTTGAGATGACAGAAAAAGATATTAGATACCAAGAACAATACTTGCAAATAATATAAGGAGAACATACTGTGGATATCCATTTTCACTAGGTCATGTGATTAATTCAGTGACTCACCACATGGCCTGCACAGAAACTGGCTTGAACACATGCACTCTGTTATCAGTTGACACACTGAAACCCCTGGAGGCAGGAAGAAAGAGTACAAAGAAAACAAAGATGTAGTTACTCACCTTGGCACACTGGTTTTGCTCTATGATTAAAACATATGTCAAAGTTTTCTTACCCATCTCCGTCCAGATGTATCAGTGTGTCGCTCCATAAGGGCAAAATGAGCCCTACAGAACACGAGCTGGGAGGGAAACGGTCTCCATGTTACAGCTTTATAAACAGAACTGAAACAGGCAGCCATACACAAGCTGTTCGTGTGTTACTCTCACCTGTCTACAGGACTGAAATCCATTCCCAGCACCACGCTCTCCTCTGTGTCCTGACGACCATTGGTCGAGACCACCACCATGTAGCGAGTGACCTGAGGGTGGGCGCTCTCCAAACGCACCGCCTGGAGTGGGAAAAACAGGTGACTGACAACCTCAAGACTGAATTTTGTGTGTATGTGCTGGATCCCACCATGTAAATCACCGAATTTTAGGATCATTACTTGGTCCAAGTTTAAGGTAAGGCAAGCAGCGGGATTGGTTACGGTGAGGGTAAGTGGCCAGGGAATTAATGCAAGTGTGTTTGTGTTCTAGTGTGTACTCACCAGTTTGATGTTGTCCTCTGGTCTGAGGAGAGTGAACATGGTTTGTAGGTGCTGCTGGATGTCTCCTAGTGAGTGATAAAACAACTGATCAGCGTTTAGAACTGTAGTTGTACATACAGTGGGTACGGAAAGTATTCAGACCCCCTTAAATTTTTCACTGTTATATTGCAGCCATATGCTAAAATCATTTAAGTTCATTTTTTTCCTCATTAATGTACACACAGCACCCCATATTGACAGAAAAACACAGAATTTGACATTTTTGCAGATTTATTAAAAAAGAAAAACTGAAATATCACATGGTCATAAGTATTCAGACCCTTTGCTCAGTATTTAGTAGAAGCACCCTTTTGAGCTAATACAGCCATGAGTCTTTTTGGGAATGATGCAACAAGTTTTCACACCTGCATTTGGGGATCCTCTGCCATTCCTCCTTGCAGATCCTCTCCAGTGCTGTCAGGTTGGATGGTAAACGTTGGTGGACAGCCATTTTCAGGTCTCTCCAGAGATGCTCAATGGGCCCTTCCTAGAGCTGGCCGTCCGGCCAAACTGAGTTATCGGGGGAGAAGAGCCTTGGTGAGAGAGGTACAGAAGAACCCAAAGATGACTGTGGCTGAGCTCCAGAGATGCAGTCGGGCGATGGGAGAAAGTTGTAGAACGTCAACCCTCAGTGGAGCCCTCCACCAGTCGGGGCTTTATGGCAGAGTGGCCCGACGGCAGCCTCTCCTCAGTGCAAGACACATGAAAGTCCGCATGGAGTTTGCTAAAAAACACCTGAAGGACTCCAAGATGGTGAGAAATAAGATTCTCTGGTCTGATGAGACCAAGATAGAACTTTTTGGCCTTAATTCTAAGCGGTATGTGTGGAGAAAACCAGGCACTGCTCATCACCTGTCCAATACAGTCCCAACAGTGAAGCATGGTGGTGGCAGCATCATGCTATGGGGGTGTTTTTCAGCTGCAGGGGCAGGACGACTGGTTGCAATCGAGGGAAGGGTGAATGCGGCCAAGTACAGGGATATCCTGGACGAAAACCTTCTCCAGAGTGCTCGGGACCTCAGACTGGGCCGAAGGTTCACCTTCCAACAAGACAATGACCCTAAGCACACAGCTAAAATAACGAAGGAGCGGCTTCACAATAACTCCGTGACTGTTCTTGAATGGTCCAGCCAGAGCCCTGACTTAAACCCAATTGAGCATCTCTGGAGAGACCTGAAAATGGCTGTCCACCAATGTTTACCATCCAACCTGACAGAACTGGAGAGGATCTGCAAGGAGGAATGGCAGAGGATCCCCAAATGCAGGTGTGAAAAACTTGTTGCATCATTCCTAAAAAGACTCATGGCTGTATTAGCTCAACAGGGTGCTTCTACTAAATACTGAGCAAAGGGTCTGAATACTTATGACCATGTGATATTTCAGTTTTTCTTTTTTAATAAATCTGCAAAAATGTCAAACATCTTGTGTTTTTCTGTCAATATGGGGTGCTGTGTGTACATTAATGAGGAAAAAAATGAACTTAAATGATTTTAGCATATGGCTGCAATATAACAAAGAGTGAAAAATTTAAGGGGGTCTGAATACTTTCCGTACCCACTGTAAATGACACCTGATTTACCCAAAGCACAAATGATACAAACATGTGACTGATGTTGAGAAAAACCTTCCACCTCACCTGCATGCTTGCTGCGCAGCTGGGAGAAGCGAGAGGCAGAAGAAGAAGCAGAGGAGCCATTTCCTCGAGGTAAGAAGAGAGCAGCTCCTTTAACTGTCAGGAAGCTTTCACTGATACTGGACAGAGAGAAAAACAAATGAGTGTGTGAGTTTCCTGGTGTCCTTTTTTTAAACTGAAGTTTCCCCAACATGCTACAATAAGGTCAAACTTAAGCTTTAAAAAAAAAAAAAAAGAAATAGTTCATTAATCATTTAGTCTTCTGATACTCAATTAATTCTTTCCGTCAAACATTTCCCTGTCTCATCAAGCATGAGGATTTTCTGCTTCGCTCCATCTTACATGATAATTAAGTGAGTATCTCTTAGTCTTGGGCCATTGGTTGGACAAAACAAAGACATTAACTTGGGCTCTGGAAAACTATCTTGCACATTTCTGACTATTTTATGTGCTGCCCTTAATGCAAGCCAACACTCTTACTGCTGGTATCACGGGAATTATTGTTTATTTCCCAACTGTATGAAGCAGATACTTTTGTTCTTACGTACGAAAACATCTGGTGAACACTGAGTACTTGGGTTTTTTGTTGCCTTTTTTTTTTTTAAATTAGATAATACACAACACCCTGTACTAACACCTATATACCACACACTGCAAAGATTTATGTGCCTTTATGAGCTCAATGCACACAACTGTGCAAACACCAGCTGGTTGAATAACGCCTTATTTGAACTGAAGTGGACTTTTTCCATAAGTTCACTGGAGGCTCGACAAATACGTAATTAGCTACAGAGGGAAAAACAAACTGTCCACCCATTAAATGAGCCAGTTGACTTCTTCGGAGGAACCTTCCCCTTTTGCAAAGTATCAGACCTACCGGCAGTTTTTATCTTTGTGCTCTGCAGTTAATTGGAGCTTAACTGAGTACACAATACTGCACGACAACGCAAGAAATTGGCAGCTCCAGCTAAGCTACTGAGTGCTCCTGCTCTTTAAACGTCAGAGTTACGTAATGTAATCATGGCTGAAATCACAGCAAGCAACGATTACACCCAATACTCTGCGAAGAGACTAGAGCTGACACCAAAATGGAACCCTCACTGTTTTGTAAAAAAATGGCATGAATCCAGAGTCATCAGTGACCCCTGGCTGTGCACGTTTGTCACTCCATACTGAGGGCAACAATAAATAAAGGCCAAGGCAGGAACAGAGACAGGAACTGTCATTCTGTCACTGTCTGCTGTGAGGACAGACAGACATCATTACTAAAGTGACAATTAGGCAATCCACAGCTTCAGAACAGTGGCTTTCAACATATCCAGTCACACTGTCAAGTTAGAAAAACTAATGTTAGAAGCTTGTGACATCTTCACATGTAATGTTATTTTTTTTTCTAAATAGTATCAGCTCACAAACAAACTCCTTTGTGGTGAAACTTAAAAAGTATCTACAGTTTCTAAAACATGCTCACAAAACTGGATCTGCGCCACAGATGCATCACAACATACATGATATGTGCCGCAGGAAAAAGAAAATTTTTTTCGAGATAAAATCTTCTACACCCTCTCTAGCAAAAGAGATTGTGCACAAAAGAAATACTGGCAAGTAATGACACTAGACAGAAATAGTAAGAACCCCCTGCTATCCACACGCCATTTATCAAAATATAAAAAGAACACAAACATTTTGGAAGCTCCTCAGTCTCACACCCTGTCAGAGCACAGAGGCTGAAGGCTGAGTGGAAATGCACAAACATTCAAACAAATAGACTTATACAAGTGTGAACAATCGATAAGTGCAGACAAGTTGGCCTTGATGTGACTGATCAGACACAAACTGCCAGTAAATGCCAGTGAGTGATCTGTTCTCTTAAGATACTGAGGACAGGATTAATCACATCCTGATTCATGAAGAACTGGGTCTTGGGTACTGTACACTGTGTGCCTTTTTACTGTAGGTCTATATGTGGGTGGAGGGGAGTGCTTTTCAACAGATGAGCATGGCATCTGGCAGGCATTTCAAAAGGAGCAAAGGGAAGGAAGCCACTATTGCTGCTACTGCTATGCTGTCATATCCTTCCCATTAACACATCGTGGGAAAACCAGGTCTGTCATAGGGATCACTTTAACCAAATTTTAGAGGGCAAACAAGAACATGAACTGTAGCAAGACACCATGCATGGACACAGTCCAAGTAGGCATCAGTCAGAGAAATGTGTCCAAACACTGATGATACACAAACTGAGCAGTGTGACTTAGACATCTCACTAACGATGGCAACAGCCTCAACGTGTTACTGCAATTCAGCGTTCACATACTTTACACAGAAATCCAACAGCTCTGGACACAGTGTGTTAAAGAAACTTACAGCTGATAAATTTCCGCCTGAGAGATCACGGAGTTCTCGGTGAAATACGGTCTCATCCCGCAGCAGGCGCAGAAGCAGCCGGCGGAGGAGCTCCGTGGCGCGGTCACCACACCGGGAGGCATCTCTGCTCCGGTGGCGGGAGCAGGGCGCGCAAGACCGTGCGGTAGCTGCCGAAACTCGCTGTTGAGGTGTAGAAGGGTCACCCCGCACTGCCAGGGTAGTTGTGAAAGCGAAAAACTCTGGTGTAAGGTCTCACTGTTCGCTTTTAATGAGCATCATGTCATGGCGGCTTTACCCGTAAACTCTATATAAAACTACTTATTTAAAAATATAGCATCAAAACGACTTAAGCCCATAAAAAGACTGCCACAGTTAACACATGCTGCAGCACAGCAGGTGTTTTGTATCGCCTCCTCCGGAGTCCTGCTCAAACTGCAGCAGGCTGCGGTAAATCCTGCAGCTGAAGGGGAGGAGACACACACGGTCCAATCGCAGGACGCTGCGTCTGTCGAAGGCTGTATGGGAGACTATTAATGCCACAGGCATGGCCGGTCCGTGTATGGAAGACGATTAATGCCACAGGCATGGCCGGTCCGGGTATGGGAAACTATTAATGCCACAGGCATTGCCGGCCCGTGTGTGTGAGGCCCTAGGGCAAAACGCGGACCAAACACTGCACAATGAAATTGCAGCATCACGTTGTCAGTGCAAACAAATAAATACAAAAGATGTTATCTGCTCCAGACATGTTGGTGTCAGTTCTGGACAAACAAACGATGTAACTTGCAGAAGCTCTGAAGGAGCTATTTCAGTTCATCCATTTTTTAACAAGCCCCCCTAGCCTCTGAGGCCTATGGACATATCATGATGAAACATTTTATGAATGAACTGCTATTCCGATGCAAAGACCTAGGGTGGGAGACAGAAGAAGCCTCAAAATACTTAATCTAACAAGAGTGCATGCCAAGCTCTTAACCTTCACTTTGTTTTGCTCCTGTGTGTTTTGGTGCCAAGTGGAGTACACACACAGGTGGGAGGGGAGGGACGAACAACAGAAGCTTTATTCAGATAAAGCAGTGTAAAGTGAGGTGGTGGTGCTGCTGTGCTGAACCAGAAGTATCTCTGTCTCAGAACATTGTCATAATTTAGTTCTAGCATCATTAATTAACCATTTAATTGTTTAATATAATAATTGTCAGACCCTGGAATCTATTTTTTACCTCACACAGTGCTTTTGCACTTTTTTCTGCTGCACCTATAGGCTGTATGAACCAAACACAGTCTGTGCATATGTCCTATGATAATAAACTTTACATTTTGGTTTTACAACTGAACAGACAAAACTAAAATAAATAAAAATCTGAATATGCTAACTGAAGCTCTGGAGAATAATGAGTATTTCTTGACATTTTATACAATGAAGAATGAAGTATTAAAGAAAATTACTTTCAAATATGAATTTATATTGAAAATAATCTTTGGTTGCAGCCTTACACTATTCATGTGACTGAGTAAAACCACCATCCCAAAGTTGATGGTTTTCTAGAAACCCCATGTAGGAGAGGGACAGACTGGGGGCAAAAAAAAACAACAACTTGGTTCTCACTTTGCTTTGTTGAAGAGATGTGAAGCTGTGGAATTTGTCTGGACAGGGTGGGGATTGTGCTCTATTCAGTCTGTTCCTGGCAGGATCTAACACTACATAGCCCAGTGTCTACAGATATCAGGCTGATGAGTTATCAACACAAACTATGCTGATAAATTAGTGAGCAGACTTCCCATTTCTGTCCTGTCTGTGCTAAACTGATCATTAGCCTGTAATTAGCGTAGTTGAACGGTCTGCTGCTGACAGTCCACATGTAGCTGTATGGGACAACATTTACTGCCAATATCCAGCCCTGTTAGTTGCC